ACCTGCCTGCCTGCCTGCTTTGCTTGTCTGCTTGCTTATTTGCCTGTCTGCCTGCTTAACTCTGTACATCTGTTGTTTGTGCCGACCTGCTTCGTCTGTTGATGTTGTTGCCTCCTTCCCCCCCCCCAACACCTGCTGTTCGTCTCGACCTGCCTCCTCGCCACACCTGCTGTCTGTCTTGATCTACCCACAGCAGGTGATTTTCTTAACCTGCTTCCACGCCATAATGGTGTGTCTCAACTCTCGACCTGCCGATATCATGTGCTTGACTACTGTAGACCTACCCATACCATGTGTCTCGACCTACCATCTGTCTCGACCTACCCACGCCAGGTGTCTGTCTCGACCTACCCACGCCAGGTGTCTGTCTCGACCTACCCACAGCAGGTGTTTTATCTCGATCTGCCCAAACCTGCTGCTTGTCTTTCCATACCAGCTACTATCGTCACCTGACCATACCTGATGCCCCCAACGTGTCCACAATAACCATAACCTGTCTGGCTACTCCACTCCCCCCCCACCTACCTACCTACCTAACAACGACCCTTAACAACACGCCACATTTGCCACACGCCCCCTGTCCTAACACGCCCTCTCTACCACACGCCCCCTTCATCACTCGAATATATACTTACGCCTATATATATATATATATATATATATATATATATATATATATATATATATATATATATACCCCCCACCCACCCCAACAAACGCCTATTCACGCCCTGGGGTCCTGTGTGTCCCACGCCAGGCCACAGCCACCTCACGGCCGTCCCTGCCTAAGTGCACCGTCCTGTTCTTCATTAGAGCTTCGTGCGAAATGCTGATTAAATCTCCAAGGTCGCTAGTAGGTGCAGGCGAGTGTAAACCCAGGGAGCGAGGGAGGGAGGGCGAGGGATAGGGCCCCTTCTGTTCCATTGGATAGGAAAGGGTGACACTTCTGTTTTACTGTGGGGTGAGGGGTGCCAGCACATCTTCGAGAGAGAGAGAGAGAGAGAGAGAGATTTCTCCTATTTTTATGATGGACCTATTAAGGGTTAAGTAGCTCTGCACAACGAGCTACGTGTTCCCGGATAAACTAAGGCTATATTTTGTGTCAGTGTATGGGTGGATGGTGCAGCATCGTGCATAGTTCCGGCCGCCCTGCGCTGATGATTTTCGTGGGAATCCTTAGGCAGATAACGAGCGTGGACACAGGAAGTTGCCGAAAACTTGCCCCCATAAACCTCTCCCGGGAGGAGCATCAGCTGGAGCTACACTGATTAACATAACCGAGAACCAGCCCTTATGACGCCCGCTGGGATATTTAGGGTCAAACTTCAACAGTAAATGGGATTATCTTACAGTAGGCTGGCAGTTTAGCGCCAGGCATTACTAAGGGCAGAAGCCCCGGGTTTACCCAGGAGTTAAAGACTCCCAAGTCCTTCTGGGGGAATGTCTCAGCCACAGCACCAGCAGCAGGGGCTTGAAAGTCTCCGAAAACGATATCTTAAGATCTCAAGCAGTGTCTTGGAGGTATACGGTTACAACTTCCTGGATTGCTTGGACACTAACAAGTTAAGTCCTTGTGAAGCAACATCTCGAGCCTCCTGTAGCAATATCTTAACTCTCCTGTAGCATTATCTAGAGTTTCTTAAGAGCAATATAATGAAGGCCTCTTGAAGCAACATCTTCAAATTTCCTGAAGCAGTATCTTGACAGCCTTCAGGAGTAATATCTTTAAGGCCTCTAGAAGCAAGATCTTCAAAGTCATTGGCAGTGAGATCATGAGGTTCTCGAATACCAACATCTTCAAGGTCTCAGGAAGCCTCTCCAAAAACCGCCGGCGCAGATAATACCAATCTTCGCCGGGACTACCTACTGCTCAAGCCTCGGCCTCTCGGCTAATCAGACTGACTGGTGGCCCGCCTGACTGCCTCGGCTAACTGGTTGCAGAAGGAGCCCGACCACATGAGACTGCCGGCCCCATTTATTGATAAGTGTATTAAGTTCGCAGGCGCATGAAATACTGAGATAAATTGAGAAGGATACATTAGCCTTATAGATCAGTACTATGTGTGACCTCAGCTATGATGCCCCGGCGTCCATCGGTCCCCGTGCATGACTCCCCCTCGTCGCTACTATTAATCCATAATCATCGTGATTTCGTCTTATCATCGAGGCTCAGGTGGGTTCAAGTACACGACTAGTAGACAAGACTCTTGGCGAGGGGCTGATGCCGCCGTGGACACCGAGTAGCAGTCCAGCCTCAACCAGGGCCAGGGATTATTAAGACGACGTCTCCTTACCCTGAAGACTCCCTCTTATCTTGGCCCATCTACCAGTTCCAGTCAAAAGCGTGGTGGTCTTGAGACCTGGGCGTGGCCACCACACAACCTGCCCAGAACCTGTCACCTCCCCTCTACTCCCAGGACCTGGTGATCTACAACACTTCCTCACCTGCCGCCAGCCCATTCCTTATAACCCCCCATGATTAATAGACATACCTTCTGCCTCCTGCTCCTCTTATTCCTATTCTGATACCGGTACACGAACCTGCCATCTACCTCCCCATCTCTCCAAGTCTGCCATCCATTTAGCCACACCTTCGCAAGACCCTTCCCACCTCCACGTTACTGTCGGCTACGCAAGCCTCTCTTTCAACACCCTCAGTGAATAGGGGTCGAACATGTAACACTCCCACGCCCACATGCCCACCCTCCCAGACAGCACCTCATGGCCTCAGCACCGCATCAACCCTCCCCGCCCCTACAACCCCCGTCTCACCCTCCCTCTCCCTTCTCTCCATCCCGATAGGTTTACTTTCGTGTTTCACCACCACGCCCATACACCTCTTTATTCACCCCCGCAGCGGCTCTCCCTCTCCCGTCACGCCCGCACCATTCTCCCTATCTGCTGTGGTCATCAACCTGCCCCAGCCTCACCTGCCAAGCGCCGGCCCCGTCCTGCCATGAGTGTTCACTTATTGGATTTGGATTCACCTGGCATTAACCTAACCTAACCTAAGCTTCACTCATGGACGGTGATTCAGTGTGATGCTGCGGGTGTTTTTGTCCAAGTGATATAACGGTGATATAAAACCAACACTTAAACCAAGGTTATTTATGTTATTTCACTATATTCTAAACATCTGTATCACCATTAGTTACACGCCACTGTCACTATTATCACAATTTTAATTTCTTCCCCACCATTTTTGAACGTCAATCTCACCATCATTTTCATTTCACCATTACTAAATAACATAATTATCACCATTGTTACTTTCACTTCACTATTATTGAACGTCATTATCACCATCACCACTATCGTTTTCAATTCACTCTTCTTGAACGTCATTGCCATTTCACCATTTCGTCGCGTCATTATCAGCCTCACCATCAAACAGCGGAGTGGTGATAGCCGAGTGTTGCACCATCCAGCCCCCACAACACCATAACCACCTTTCTATTTACCTGTTGATAAAATCCAGTGAGTCTGTCAATTACCTCCACCCACCAATCATCAATTTCCCCAGGTACCACAGCCACGCACCCACGCCCATGCGACCTCCACGCCCACACGACCTCCACGCCCACACAACCTCTAATGCTCACATGACCTCTACGCTCACACGACCCTATGCTCAAACGAAAAAAATTTCTTGAGTGACCCTCGTTTTATTGACGGATATATTTAACGTGTGGGGTTGTAAGTCTTCAACACAAACATATAATAGAAATATCAATTTAAAAAAAAAACAAACATTACAGTAAACATTGATAAGCATAAGTTATAAGTGACACAAAGATACACGTCAATAAACATAAAATGGTGAATTAAATCACTGTTTAAAATTCGTTTACTCCAACACACAGTAATAAAAACAAACGTCAGAGTTGAGCAAAGCGTAAATGACAATGGAAGTTTAAATCGCTGACAGAGAGAGACGTTTACAGAGCCGGGAATTACAGTTTGTGTGAAAGTTGGATCTGTTTCAACACTCCCCTAAAGGCTCTATCACGGGGCCATAAAGCTCCTCTCCCTCCCACACAACCTCTCATTTTTTTTTCGTCTCATGAACTTTAGAGGACTCCTGACCTGTCAAGCTCCCTGGTCTCCCGACCTGTCAAACTCCTTGGCCTCTTGACCTGTCAAGCTCCCTGATTTCCTGACCTGTCAAATTCCTTGGCCTCCTGACCTGTCAGACTCCTTGGCCTCCTGAGCTGTCAAACTCCTTGGCCTCCTGACCTGTCAAATTCCCTGATCTCCTGACCTGTCAAACTCCTTAGCCTCCTGACATGTCAAGATTCCTGGCCTCTTGGCCTCTTGTCAAGGCCCTGACCTTCTGACCTCGTTCGGTGTCTTTGAGCAAGGAAAGGGGGGGGAGTATTTGTTCCCTCCCAGAGGAGAGGACCTCTCCTCCACCCACACACACACCGCCACCAAAGGCGACTCCTGCCTCGAGTGCGTCACAAGCTCTGGTCGTAGGCTGAGGGGGAGAAGAGGGGGGAGGAGGAGTGAGAAGGAAAGAAATAAGTTGAAGAGGGCAAGGAAAGAGAAGTGACGGAGAAGAGGAAGAGGAAGTGATGGAGGAGGACGAAAAGCACTAGGAACAAGAAACCGAAGAGGAGGAAATGGGAAATGAAAGTATTTTACAAAGGAGGAGGAAGAGAAGGAACCCCCTCCCCCCACACACACACGATATCAAGAATCATACTCACACCATCTGTCCAATGACAATAAAACAAGAGACAAACTTCACCACCACCACCATACCACCACCACCACCACCACCACCACCACCACCATACCAACACCACCACCACCACCACCACCACACCACCACCACACCACAACCACTACCAGACCACAACCACTGCCAGACCACCAAACAACCAACGCCTTAAGAGAGACAACTTACCGTTGCTAACTTTGAAGACCCTAACGTCCCTCACCTTGGATGACAACAAATCAATCTTACAGGTAAAAACATTCTCAGGTGCCATAATTACCTAGGTGTTCAGCAGTGGAGGCGAGACCCATTCCTAGAGAAGATGGTGATAGTGGCTCCACCTGACGTCTCGACAACGTACCTGGAGAAATAAACACAAACACACGTCAGTCTTTACATGTTAAGAAATATACACGTCAGTCCCCAGCACGTCAAAAAACAAGTCAGTCCCCAACACGTCAAAAAACACGTCAGTCCCCTACACGTGTCCCCAACACGTCAAAAAACACGTCAGTCCCCAACACGTACACGTCAGCCCCCTACACGTCAACAACATCAGTCAGTCCCCTACACGTCAGCCCCTACACAGTCAGTCCCCTGCACGTCAGCCCCTACACATCAGTCCCTCACGTCAGTCCCCTGCACGTCAGCCCCTACACATCAGTCCCCTGCACGTCAGCCCCTACACGTCAGCCCCCTACACGTCAGCCCCCTACACGTCAGCCCCCTACACCATCTGCATCGAGGTACTTTGACACAGGTGAGTGATCTCTGTCTAGTATGTATTTATAGTGTGGTAAATCACTTTATGGTAATGTACAATATATGTTGTATAATATGTTGTGATATATCTATAGTATAATATAGCATCATAACAATATATCTATAAAGTAGTATAGCATTGTGACAATATATCCGAAGTATAGTCTTTTGGTAATATATATAAATACAATATAACTCACGGTAAAATATATATAGTGTAACACAGTAATATATCACAGTATAGCATTATAATAAATGATTTTCCTAACTCCAAGATCAAGAAGAAATAACACTAAAGTGATTATTCCGTTCTACTGGTGACTAAAACTTTCCCAACCACTCATTCTAACTGTGACACGGCCCAACTTGGCACGGAAGAAGCACGGAAAGACTCTTGAACCGTGTCGACGTGTCCTGACCTCCAAGACGTACGGAAAGACTCCACCTCCCCCCCCCCCTCCCACTCCTACACATGTACCCCCTCCTCGAGTCAATCGCCGTTTTCTGTTCGTCGTGGTGGTGGGTGATAAAGAGTGGCACAGTTAGTATGAGTTTTATGAAAAGTTCAAAACACACTGGTGCATCATTTTACAAGCGTTGCCAGTACGCATGTGTCTTTGAGTAAGCCAATACAGTTATCAATTTACATCCACGATATATAAATATAAATAAAAGGTAAAGCAAATATAAACACGAAATAACAACGAAAGATAAAAAAATAATCCGTAAATAAAAGGTATGGCAGAAAAAGGTAAAATAAAATAAAATAATAAGTGATATTAACAAAAACAGATTCCTTCAGAGAGAGAGAGAGAGAGAGAGAGAGAGAGAGACCGGATGGTGAGGTGTGACGGCTGGACCAGTGGATGAGAGGCCACGGAGAAGGGAGGGAGGGTAACGGTGTGGTAGCAGGAAGGGAGGGAAGAGGAGTAAGGAGGGAGAGGGATGACTGGAAGGGCAGGAATGAGAGGTGGCAGGTAGGGTAGAAGGGAGTGAAGAAACTGGGAAGGTAGAGCGGAGGAAAGGAGGATGACAGGAAGAGTAGAAAGCAGGGAGGGCGAGAGACACAGAGGGCAGGAGGTAGGGAGGGCAGGAGCCAGGGAGGGCAAGCGGCAGGGAGGAGGGAGGGCAGGAGTAGCCACTCTGGGCAGGCCACCACAGCGTCACGGTCCAGTTAGCAGGTCTGCCAGTACCTGCTCACCACCACGTGATTACCTGCTGAGGAGCCTCCGTCAACAGCAGCAGGAGCAGGACGGTCAGCAGGAGGAGGAGGAGGATAGTGATGATAATGTTTATGAAGGGGATGATGGTTATTATCATGTTCACAAGGATGATGAAAATAATAATAACTAAACGGGGGAATAGTAACAGAAAACAAGAAAGAGATAGTTAAGATGTAAGAGGGAAAAAAGAGAAGAAGTAACCAAAGCAAACAGCAAGAGAAAGACGAATGATAAGAGAAAACAAACACAGGAGTAACTTTCTATAAACACACACACACACACACACACACACACACACACACACACACACACACACACACACACACACACACACACACACACACACACACACACACACACACACACACACACACACACACACGAAAAACGAGATAAATCTGACTACACAAGCAACGAAGGATTAGCCCCGGTGAGTCCAAGGAGATGGAGTGGGGGAAGAAGGAGGGCCTTTGGTGAGGGAGGGAAGGAGGGAAGGTAGGGAGAAGGATGAAGGGGTGGAGAGGGGAAGGGAAGACATTATGGGCGGGGTCGACCCAATAATATCAGGCCTGGATGTTCACCCTCCCAGGACGATGGTTTAACAATTTGGAAGAGAAGGAAACATTATTGAGAAGAAGCCCCTACAGTCATTTGTATTTTGATAACTTATATACAGAACTATTCTTATGTAGTGGAATATAAGAATACAATATAAAAATAATCTTAAAAATAAGTCCTTAAACTCTCAACAATAAGAGACCAAAATACTGAAACAAGATATCCCTTGATCGCGTTTAACTGTGGGAGGAACAAGGTAAGAGGCCGGGCCGCTGGATCTCCTTCAATACAAGTTCCAATCACTTATATCCCCCTCTTTTCTCGCAAGAGAGAATTGGATCCGACAGTGTGTGGGTTCTAATAGCTTCCCCAACCCTCTGCCAAGGGGATCCACACCGGCCTCTCGCCCGTGATAAGAGATTTGTTTCACGTTCATCCTGAGGGAGAAGTAGAGTGGGTGCTTTTTGCAGAGTGCAACACTGCGTCACTATCATATTGCTATCGAAGGGGTAGACGTCAGAGAGGGAAAAGACCCCAGAGCTACGTCTTCAACCCCCCCCCCTCTGCGTCTCCCCGCTCACCACCACCACACGACCTCCCCAGAAAAGATTAACAAGGCATAAAACTCGTTATCCATCACGGCCGAGATTGAAGACGACAAATCTGACTGAGCTTAAGCTCGTCACTCGTCAGGGAATTAATTGTTCCCATCAATCTCCACGACGGACAATAGGGGGGGGTTCCCCCCCTCCTCCCTCCGTCACCCACGTCTCAATTACCATCTTTCTCCACCACAGGTAAACACGCCGCACCACAGTGTTAAGACAATAGGTGTATGAGTGTATGTCGCGGTGGCTAGTATTACCCGCCAGCAGTTGTATACACGCCCGTAGAGCTAAACAAATGTGGGTTACCTGTACAAAGGGTTAAGCTAAAGGGGCTGGGGCAAGATAATGGCAACCGACCTACCCACCTGAGTTGTCGTTGGTTGCCCCTTCACAGGTTAATCGCCAAGATTAACAAAACAAAAACTTAAAACATCAAACAAGACGGAGATGTGACGAGTGATGATGGTAGAAGACGGTGAACGCGAGAGGGTAGCATCAAGCGTCCTGGTTATCAATGGCACTGAACAAGTTCCCTTCTGTCTTTCACGGAGCTCAAGGCTTTCACGCCGGTGGTGGAAGAGGTGGAGAGACTAGGGGGCAGGTAAGGCACGTCTGGAGGAGGACTGTGAGGCCTTTGTTGCCCACCTGCACGCTCCGATTTAATGACTGGCCCAAGCTGAAGGACTACACAGTCTTCAGATGCCCCTACACCCCCGCCCCTCCCACATCATAGTCGTTAGGGTTGATGAGCTGGTAGTTGGTCGACTATTGTTCTCTTAAACCCTTCCTCACCCTCCCCCTTACTCACACTGGCCGTCACACACAACACAACACAACACAACACAACACAACACACAGTTTTGTCTCCTCGCCTGTCAAGTGTTTATCATCGAGCTGATCATCTGTGTCACATCTATACGAACATAAAGTCTTTCTCGTCCAGGGATTTTAAACGACGTCGAAGTCTTCATCAATTAAAACTGCCAAGTGCTAACAAAAAATCCCTTACTTCCCGAGCTGCACAGATTTTTTTTTAACATGACACAGCTTAGTCCAGGAGCAGCGCATGTTAGTATGACTGTGTACACGTCTCCATGACAACCCTTTATTATTCCAACCATCTTTGTTCAACACACTGTACGTCATCTCGTTCCTGTGAAGAGACAAGGAAGGTAGTTGGTGGAGGGAGGGAGGGAGAGAAGGTGGGTGGGAGGGAGGGAGGGAGGGAATGAAGGATAGGAAGGGAAGGAGGGAGGGAGTGTGTGGAGGACACAAGAGGATCAGATAACAGGAGATAAACGAACACCAAGGGGGCTGGACCAAGGGGGGCTACCCAGACGTGTGAGGGCGGGCGGGGCCACCTCCCTGTCTCGCCCCGGACACTTAGCCCCACTCACCACATCTTAAGTGTTTTAAGTGCACTGGTAAGGCGTGGGTGAGCCTTGCTAACTTTCTTGAGAGTCTCTCCTGCTACATGAGTCTTTAACTTCCACCTCAACATGAAATCTCCACCTCGCAAAAAAAGGAGGAGGAGGAGGAAGATGATGCAGAAAAGGAGAAGAAAAGGAAGACAGAGAAGCAGAAAAGGAAGAAGAAAGGAAGGAGAATGCGAAAGGGAAGAAACAAAAGATGGAAAAGATGACAAAGATGAACAACAACAAGAGAATAAAAAGAAGAAAATTAATTAATATATCACGTACTTTAACCCGAAGAAAATACCTCATTCTAGGGTCTTGCTGAGAGCCGGAGAGTTCCAAAACTAAAGTGATCGACGGTGAAGTAAAGTGATCAATGCTTCATTAAAAAACCCCTTTTATGTTTACCACAACTTCTCCACCAGCGAACACAAACATCAAAGCCACTAAATTATGCTGAATAAACTTTGGGTCAGAGTTCTAATTTTTCTCAGGCTAGCTTCCATCTCCCTCTTTCCCTCACTCCTTTCTTTCTTCGTCCCTCCTTCCCTCCTCTATTTACTCCCCGGTTTCCAAGACTTCGTTAAAAAGGAACTTAGCGCCATTAACAGTCTCCGAATTATGGTTCTGAGGAATATACTGGATGGGTTTCTGTATCTCACTTTTACTATTGCAATTCTACATCGGTCACATTAGGATATCTCTCCCCCCTCCCCCCCTCCTTCGCTGTGTCAGAAAACTGTTGAGTCTCTTGTTGCTTCAGATGTCACAAGAGTCTCTTTTGTTCTCGTTGGT